GCCTGTCGTAAATATAATCTGTGTAGTAAGTATGCCTGTTGGTTAGTGCTCTGGCCTCGTTCACCAGGAACTTATTACGAATGTTCATAAATGTATAATTTCTAACGCTATGGCATTGATTTTTAGCATCAATCAGGACAGTACATGTTGGTTCATGACATGGAGTTATCTCTAGCAAATGGCTGCTCAACAACAAACTTATCGTGATGATGTGATTGTAACCGATATTCTTGATAGTATCGGTTACAATAGTCGCTTTTCTTTGAGAAAACGCACAGTATTGCACCATTGTGGTAAGTTGTAATCACTTTGAAGTCAGATGGCTACCATACAGCCAACGGACTGAAAGTACCACTCACCGAAGTGCTCGGTTATAAAAGAACAATTACACATGAGGATGATACGCTGCCGTATGGAACAGAGAAGCCTAAGAGGTTAATTGATGAACATACGTGATTCATTCACTGTCAGGGTTGTCAAACGCCCAATGTGGAACTACTGGTGCACCTCTGAAGACCTATAGGTTGCTGAAATGGAAGCTGTATGCGTCCAAGTCGGCTTTCTAGTTGTCAACAATTTGACTGAGAACTTTTCACCTATAGCTAAGTAAGTACCTATTGAATACATGTTAATAAAGCAGTTCATCGGAAATATAAGTGTTCTCACCACCACTCCGATCTACTTCAACGGCAGTTAATAAACCGTAAGGTTGAGTAATTGTAAATATGATAGCAAAAGGTTGCACATTTATGACACCAAAATGATTCTGAAAGCAATCAGTGATCTGTCTGGTAAGGTAGACAAACTGACTGCTCACATCAGAAAGCTAATCCATGGGTGTAAAGGACAGGAACAGCGACAGCATAGACAATTAAAGTTCCGCATTACCATTGAAAACACCTGAGGAATTGCGTACTCTTGAACCTGCTTTAGAGGACCACAAGTTCCATGACCAGCTTGTGAAATCTATTTATAAAATTTCAGCTGATCAGATTGTCCGAGATCGTAGACAATGATCTTCGGAAGTCAACCAAAGCGTATCTAGCTTACGTGCTGACTCCGGAACTGGCAATTACTTATGCTTACGTGGGACTAAAAGAAAAATAGGTATCAGTAATCACATTTCACAGGACGATTCAAAGTAAGTCCGCATCACAGTTTTAATATGCTTATAGATGTTCTGTGTTCACGGTTCCAAAGTGCAACCTGTTGAGTGAAAAAAACAACACAAGCCATGGATGCTGTGAGCCAGGCCTTCGTACATGGCGTAAGAGGTAAGGTTAACAAACGTAGATGGCGATCCAAAGAAAGGATGGGCAAAATGCACTTTCGATTTGTAGTTAAGTCTCTGTTTCTGATTTTATGTTAGTTTCTGGTGAACGTACTGAAATAATTATTTCCTGTCTATCTCATTTTCAACTGGCTCTGCAAGTACCGAGGGACCTCAGTGTACATTTTTAATTCAGCGCTTCACATGGCATTATGAATTCATAATTTAGATGGTCACTATGACATAGGGCATTCATTTGTCTATTATTAGCTATTTGGCTGTTTTGATACTGCGTTTGTAACGCAGAAGAGAACTTTTTTGTACAACACAGTTGAGCACCAACCTGATGTACCAAACGGAGACGCAGTATCAATTATTAAAAAGTCAAAGACACTTGAGGACAGACAATTTATTTGTACTTTTTTCAAAATTCAATAAACAAGATCATTTATAACGCATCACTCTTCTAACTACGGCAACGCTTATCTATCGCGACAGATCGGTTCTTGTTAGCATCTGTGGTTTAATGACATTGGAGCTGCATTAATTTCCCGAAGGGAAATGGACGAACGTGTAGTGAAATGTGGTTACCTGTTATTAAGTCTGTACAGTTGCTAGTCTTTGGCTCTTTCAGAACAAATTATTGTGGAAAACTGAAATTCGTGGATAGTGTCCTCTAAATGCGAAAAAGTATTGGGGTTTAATCACGGAACATAGGTGGGTTTCTCCAAAGTTGTCGAAAATTTTGATGAAAACCCAAAATACTAAAATGTCTAGGTACTCTGTAAATAAATACATAATTCTGGGTATCTTAGGACCTGTGGAAGTTCTGCGTCATTTTCTCAAAAATAGGGACATTAGTCGCGTAGACTATGAGGTGACTCCTGCGTAGAATCAATTGAGTTAAGATTGAAATTACCTGAAGTTCATAATTACCTACAGAATTCGGGTTAGAGGATGGTCAGAATGACAGTCGTAATCACCTGCTTCACTTGGTCTATGGACTGAATGGTCATTTATATACAGAATTATTACGATCCCACCACCTGCTCTCTGAATTATAGTCCCTGTAGATGGTCGGTAGTTATTTCTCCGGTATCCACTAGGATTGTTTGTAAGTACCACTTCTCGACATTTGGAATACGAATCAATAATACAGAAAGCATTACATGAGTTTAAAAGTAGGCCACATTAATCCACATCGCCACGACTTCATGTACGTTTATCATACAATGGCTTATATGGACTGGCATGAGTTTTTCGACATATACAAGCATCAGTCACAGACCACCTACAGGTCTGACGAGCAAGTGATTTAATTTTCTCTGCTCCGTAGTGGGGGGATTGGGGGTCATCTAATACTGCAGAGGGATGATTATTCTATGGGTAAACCGCAAAATGCCTTTAGGACGTAGTAATATATCTCTACGATGTAGAACTCAAGGAACATACGCTTGTATACAATATCTCAACCTCTGTTCACCGAACTTCCAAAATTTTACAAGTAACTCACAAGTTCTGATATATCAACAGGCTGTGATTGGACCAACGCAAGATCACTCGTTAGATGGTCCCTCAAAATATGGCTAACGTGATAGAAAATACGCATATGGTGTGCTTTTAAACCACGCAGTACTCAATTGAGAAATCACAATCTCATTTCCAGACCATGGCAGAAGAAAACCGATGAAATGATTCAATTGGATAGTAAGTAAACGTTAACACCTCGTGATCAGTTGCAATACGGAACGTTAAACCAAACATGTACTTGTGCAGTCCTCCTAACGTCCATATTACGGCTAATCAAGTGAATGGACTACACTGTAAACCTCTCAGGTTGGTGTAAATTTTAAAACCGATGAGCTATATGACATAGATCTGACAGGAACTGCTAAGTAAGGCGCAAGGATCTTAGACCTTTAACTAGATGGTATAAAGGTTGACAACACTTGGGATTTACTGCCTAGAAACCATAGGACTGCTTCTTCGGCACTCATACACAACAACTTAGTAAATCCTCTGTACACTGAGAAATAAGCAGAAATGCAACACCGGCTTGGTTATCAATAAACTTATTTCCCAAATCAATTGTCTTAACTGATTTCAATCTATCAGAACTATGTAATCCAAATGAAGCAGTGGATCTTCACATATTAACACAGCGAGATGTAATTGGCAAGACCAATGTTACAGTAATAGAGAAGACTGGGTACAGAACAAGAAACAAAGGAGCACTATGAGATCTCGGTACCCGAGATCTAAGGCAGGACAGTGTGAATGCACTTGCGCTATTGCGATCAACCCTGGATTATGTCACGCGGAATCTCTAACCCCTGATCATAATAGCCATCTAGCCCCAGCCTGCCGGACATGCAATGGCCTCAATGACTCGAACTTCGTTTCGATCGGGCTTTCTTCCAACCTACTACTACACAAGTATAAATATTCCTCGTCTTAATAGACGGTGGTTGGGCATACGTGGCAGACTTCAACCAGCACGATTGACGGGGACTCAACAACTGTCTTCCTATCCTTACTTCGGGTACAGTCTCAGGACGTATGTTGTTATTCTGACACTTTGTGGTCTGGTTATATACTAGGTTCAGGAGGCCGAAATCATATCTGATGTCAATCTACGTACCACCTAGTGAAATTTGATTCTGACTACTATACAACCTTTGCCCGGTCACACCATACATTCTTTGCTTCAACTTGTACATTTTCTTAATTGCTGTTATGTGGATTGTGAAGACTAAAGCCGGTAAAGACTCACACAAGATCTGACAGTGACTGACAACAGATGACCTCAAATCCTGGAATTAAAAAACAGGTGGTTGCGGACCACAACATCTGGTTGTAAAACTATGCGATATAGCTCTATAGAAAGACACCATCGAGACACAGTCCAATCTTCATTGTCCATCTTAAACCAACAATTTGCAGCCCAACAGAACCCTGAGTATAGGCCAACCTCGTACCTGTTTTATTACTGAAACCTGGATCCAAATTTAGTGGATAGCCATTTGTAAAGATACAACCCAAGTTAGAAGATTCACACAACAGTTGTTAAGTTTCCAATGTATTTATGATAGCGCTAATACGATTGCCGACAAGTCATAAACTTAACGTACTATGTCCCGTGTATCTGACTGAGACCATTTGTTGCGAGAAATGTCCTATCTCTTCAGAAGTTCCGGTAGAATTTTACTTATGAAGTATTGATCAACCACGGAGTTTCACTACCAGTCCGGACACGATTGTACTACCCTTATAACAGAAGGGTCTTAATACTTTCCTCTTTTCCAAACAAAGGCTTGCCATGCGGATGTTTCGTGTGGCTAAGTTAACTAAACCGTATATTTACGAAGTACTACAAGTCGTCTCACTCATGTGGTAGCGAGGAAGGCTTATTTAAGAACAAAGACGTGTGTTTCGGCATTAAAACAGAGTTACATTGATTTAGTAAGAGCTAGTGGTAGTGTAAACTAGCTTGCGGTTTATCAATACCTTCAGTTATTTTGCCTAGTCGTGCTGCACACCAATTAAGAGACCTTGTAATAACCAGAACATGTCTGCGGAATCTTCAGCTTCAAGAGAACGTATACGAAGACATCTGACCTCTTTACAAATGCACCAGTATTTAAACAGTAACTAACAAAAACTTAAGTAGTTTCGTGCAGATTATCAACTAGATGTAGCGATAGTAATTAGTAGAGCACTACAAAGTATTTTAAACTTCAACATCATTCTCCGGTTCTTTTGGATACTCAACATGTAGAGAAGATGTCGGTATAACAACCTTGGGTTCTTCGAATTTGAACATAGGGAACTGAGTCATATCTTCTCCTTCCGCTTCGTATATTCTATCAACCTTAGCCAGCATTTCACTAAGCTCTTTTATTTCTTTAGATGAAGCATCTGTTAATCCGAACTCAGATTTCCTGAAATTGGAACATGAGATTAATTAGAAAAGGGAACTCTACTCGCTCTTTTGACGATACTCCCGTAGTCTAGCAACAAATGACTGTTGGATAGGATCACCCACTTGCAAACTTCCTGATATGCTAGATAGACATCGTTGGTTTACAGCGACCCGGCACACTCTGAGCAGTAAAGTTCTGACAGACTTAGTGGCTAACATAGCTCACTTTTCAACACAACCTCCAAAATCTTTTCAAACTATATTGGACAAAAGTTACGAACTGTACATTCCTTGGAATATGAGTCTTAGTTACAAAAAAAGTCGTTTCAGTTTCACTTTTGAGAAAGACGGGCGGCTAGATGATCTGCGTAATTTTTGAATATCCAGTATCTTTGTCAATTGATTTCATTGTGCTCACATCCCATTATTATGGTAAAGTTACAGGTACTTAGTTGTGTCTAATGGAATGTAATCTAGGCACTCAATTGCACCAACTCCAGTCAGTTGTGAGAGGAGACAGTCGGTAACGGATTTCCGTAGAAGTTATAAGTGTTTTTTGCCAAATGAGGCAGTGTTCATGACATGACATTTCAACAAGTCAAGTTCTAAACTCTTGACTACTGCCCCTTCCCTTATTGTTGTTAGGTTCTTCTGAGGCTCAGCTGAATTCTCTTAGCATTTTTATGGCTGTCTATATCCTTGAGTCATCTGCATAGATTTATGTCGCCGTGCTCATTTTTTCCAACGGGTAGTTAATAAAGACTAAAAAAGAAGACTTCCAAAGACCGTCCCTCTCTAAACTTCTGATGTTGAGACCTCCAAACTCCCATGCACTCTATTTGCTTCGGTATGAAACATCCTGTTTTCGATATAATTTTTCAGTCAAGATAAAAGTGGACCGATGAAACACATTTTTGCCGTCTTCGCTTTGAGAAGTACGTGAGATAATGTATCAAAGGCCTTTGCGAAACCAATGAATTTTGCATTAATCGGTATCTTACAGTCCCACTAAGTTTTCCACCTTTCTTATTGAATGAGGATAATTAAAGCACACAACCTGCTTCTCATGAACCCGTTTTGAGCTTCATGGAGGATAATTTTATTTATTTTTTCCCTAATTTGTTCACTGACCGGTTCCTTCATTGCCTTCTGGAGTATTGAGAGCAATGTGACTAATCTTTTATAGACTGAATTTTTCTATCACCTGCTTTGAAGATCGGCAAGAGTGTGGCCTGGTCCCATTCCCTTGAGAGCTGGTGTGAATCAAATGAGTGCCTGAGCAGGCCATACACAAGTATGCTGATGGCTTCTGAGCAAGCAGACTTTCGACCTGAGACAGTCTCGCCGTTTGGCCTGTAGTAAGCGTCCTGTGTCTCGCTTAACCCAGGACGTTTGCTTTCATAGTGTGTGCTTACTTTGAGGTACATTGTGTTAGATCGCATTTAAAATGATATATTTTACTATCTCCTTGGTCATCCACTGTTTGTTTCCCCCTCCTCGTGACCCTGGGGCGTGTTAAAGGTCCATTCTCGTGGTCATGTAGTCTGCCTTAATACAGCTGAGATAGTATGCGTTTTCGTCCTTCCGAAGTATTCGATTTGTGACCACGTCAAACACGGATGTACCATGGTCACTACTTCGTACTGGTGCATGAACACTGACATTCCCAATTGGAAACTGATCATTTGTCGGTAAGCAATCTAGGTGAAGGCCTATGCTGCGCAGAAGCCAACGCCACTGTTGTATATCATGTTCGTGAGCTTCATCCCAACTGCTACATGCTTGCTCAAGTACTCTGCTGTAATGTTGGTTACTATGCTAAGCCGCATAACTTATTCTAGCTTCTGAGCAGACCAACTTATTCATTCTTTTTGAGTTAAATTTTGCCTTTGTTATTTATTCACTTATCAACCCTGACTGTTTTTAAATAGGCGTATGTATGTACATCTTATCCTACTCACACATATCTGAAGCTTATTTTGTGTGACTATAAATATCGAATCACTCTTGATTTAAAGGAGTTGGCTCACACTCCATATGCACTGTGCATCACATTGCTTCGCTCTCTTTTCCTTCTTCAATCTGCTTCGATCTTTCTTCTTTGTTTCGTCTCCCTGATCGCATTTTCAAATCAGTGAGTGCATGAACTATACACATTTAAAATCCATTCTCGTATTTGACTTCATTAATTCAGTCATTCAGTAACGTGGATTTTTCGTGCCTTAAGGTAACCCTTGTGCTATTGATAGAAGAAACCAGACTAGTAGTGAATAGGTCTTTATTTCGATCTTCGCACAGTCACAGTGGGGCGTGGGGTTATTTATTCGGACAAACAAAGCCTCTCAACATTCAATATAAGATAATGGGGAATATAACACCTATACAAAATAAGGAAGTGAGTAAATACTTGAACTATACTGTTCGAGCATATGCTTGGTTGTTTGAGGTCAACTCTTAACCAACCTACCTAAGCTGTTACATTAGCCTCCCCCTAGAATCGACTTCCGTAGGAACGTCGGTTCGATTAACGTATCTATCAAAAACAGCTTAGTTCTGTTTTTCCAGCCCAAGCGAAAATCACCAACTCGCTCACTGTTTGACTTCATCAATGACGACTTATTCCGTCAGCAATCAACGATAGTCCATGGATGTCTCTTCATTTTCTAACCTGTCATCTTATCTTATAGCATGCGATTTCTTCTACAACTATCTCTGACAGTTTGCTACGTGCCCTCAAGTGAGTGTGAGAATGTGCAGCAAGAATAGTTGAGGAAGTGCCGCGTTTCTCAGGCCGAATGGCATGCATACAAACTCGAATAAGCCAAAGGGTGTTGTAATAGCTGTCTTGGGGACATCTTCATCAGCCACTGGGATATTGTGATATGCCCTGACTAAGTCAATTTTAGTGAATATGTTCATACCCTGTAAACCGTTTGTGAAATCTTCGATATGCTGTATTGGGTACCTATCTGGTACGGTTTGACGGTTGAGGGCTCTGTAATCCCCGCACGGTCGCCAGTCACCTTCATTCTTCTTTGGGACCATATGCAAAGGGGATGCCCATTGACTATCAGAGGGATGGAATCAGTCGTTAATCGTGTACGAGGTTAGCCAGGATGTATATTTTGACAGAAATCTATAAACAACTCAGTTTTAGACGATACGATCTTATTGCAGCCAGATACGCGGCTACAAAATTTTTGAACCCGTCGATAACATCGTCTGATCTAGTTGATATCAAAATTTAGGGTCCCACTGAATTGGTTAGCCTGCTGACAATAAACCTAACGCAGCAAACAACGTCGTTGGAGAAACTTCTGTACTCCATACTTTCGACGAACAAACTCAGCAAAGCCAGCTCAACCTCTGATCCAACACACTCAGATAAACTTGTTCAGCACCACATGGACATGCTCAAATTTTATTACCTTGTCAATAATTTCCATTCATATCAACTCTTCTCATTATTCGGCTTTTTACCTTCCAGTACATTACATTGACTTGCTATTAATATTATTTCACCAATCGTCACTCTATCTATAATTCATATATTTCTATACTTTTCCGCCTACATTAGTAAACGACTGTCCTACGTTATGCCCTTCTTAATGCCTATACTTTGATTTGCAACCGACATTTCATACTATACCTAATCAAAGCATTGCATCGAAGCCTTACCTACAGTCCATAATTTGTAACTGCTTGATAAGCTTGTAAAACGGTACTTATAGAAATAGTGTTTTCTATGAGGATGTGAAACACAGAGCATTGTGTGAGGTATAATATATATCTAAAAATAAGTTCAAGTGAGCTCAACATCACAAAAGGGGGGAGGGGGGAGTTACTGACCAGCAAACAACGATGGTGGGGGCGATGACTACAACCCACCTATGTTTGTGGGCAGAACATTTTTCTGTATCAGACTCGTTATGTTTGAGAACGAAACAATCAATCTGCGATATTGAGGTTGTTTTCCCGCGATGGTCATTCAGATTCATGTTTCCAATTTTGTGCGGGAATTCCAAACATTACGACATCTTGAAACGTTCGATTCTAAAACGAGGAGACCTAACCGATCGACTAAGGTTAGATCAACTCTTCAATAACATCGAACTGCAACACGGTTCTGCGACGGACATGCTGCAACGGATGAGGGAGGTTATAGGCCCAAGAACATTCGACGAAGGTCTATTCAAACAACTTTTCTTATCTAAACTCCCTCAACAGGTGCAAGCAGTTCTGGTCTCGTTTCAGAACAACGCCTTAGACGAGCTAGCTGCATCTGCCGACCGCATTTTAGAAATTACGAAATCTTCTACGACAGAGGTTTTTACAGTCAAAGGAAAGCCTCAAACGACTCAGAGTGACATAACCGAGTTATGTCATACACTCACGCGTTATCTTAATCTTCGTAACGACCGTAAGAGATCGCGCACTCCACGTAGAAGCATTTCACGTAAGCGATCTGTCTCTAGACCACGAGAGATGGATAACCCCGACTGGTGCTGGTATCATAACCAGTATGGAAAGTTTTCCAGAAATTGCAGAAAACCCTGCAATTTTCCCAATACGAAACCGAGTGACTCGAGAAACAACTCGGGAAACTTCCAAGCCGGCACGCGTTAACGGCAACCGTAGCCGGCAAACATAGCCGTCTGTTATACGTTCTCCCAGCAACTCCTAACGACCGGCTTAACGGATCGACTCTAAACTTACAGGCGGCAAACGGAAAACCGATCGCTACGTATGGCAAAAGGTACGTTTACCTTAACGTGGGTTTACGCAAACCCATCCACTGGATTTTCGTTGTTGCAGATGTTTCTATGCCAATCATTGGTATGGACCTTCTACAACACCACAATCTGATCATCGACACGCGCAAACGGAGGCTAGTAGACGGAAACACTAATTTGTCCGTTTGCGTAACTTCTTCTTCTGGTTGTAGATTATCCCCAGTCACAATTAAGCATATGATAGACCCACTCTATCAACCACTACTCGATAAGTACCCTGGGATACAACAAACGCAACGAGACTACCGTGTGTAACCAGCAACGTTACACATCACATCACGACTACAGGACCACCTGTATTTTCTAAAGCACGACGACTAGCTCCTGAAAAGCTAAGGTTAGCGAAAAACGAATTCGACCATATGATAGACTTAGGAATCATACGACCGTCAAGTAGCCCATATGCATCTCCGTTGCACATGGTCC